AGTTTACATGGACCTTGAGCTATTCAATATGTGTGCTAGGAACTGAACTCAGGCCCTCTGCAAAAGCAATATGTGCTTTTAAAAGCGGAGTCACCTGTTCATCCCAAAAACAGTTCTGATTTTTAAAATATGAAGGTCATAAATTTGAGTGGAATGGTGCTTATTTTTATATGTGCAATGTGGAAGGCAGGCTACAAGCTCTAGAGAAATTTTACCTGGGAAAATAACACAACTCTCAAGATGTATCTGGAAGTGGGTATGCATACCCAATTGCCTGAAAATGAAAATGATTGCCCTGTTTGACTCAGAGTACGATTCAAATGTGCCTGACACCATACACAGATATTTTTGGAAATTTGTGACCATATACTTCCCAATAATCCAACTTTGAAGGTGATGGGAGATGTCACTCTGTAAATATGTTTCTCCTAGAATTCAACAAGAATGAGGACACAACATATGCGAACTTATCGGACACCTTGAAAGAGTGCTATGAGGGAAGTTCATTGCGTTAAGTGCTCATATGAAGAAAACTGAGAATAGTCACATTAGAGAATTAACAGCAAAACTGAAAGCCCTAGAACAAAAAGAAGCAAACTCACCCAGAGGTATAGTAGCAAGGAAATAATTTGAGTGCTAAAATCAATAAAGGAGAATCCTGGAATACAATACAAAAATTAATGCAATGAAGAGTTCACTTTTTGAGGAAATGAACAAGATAGACAAATCTTTATCCAAACTAACACAAAAGCAGAGAGAGAATACACAAAATACAAAAAATCAGAAACAAGGAAGGAGACATAACAACCGACACTGGGGAAATTCAGACAATTTTCAGGTCATACTTTGAAACCCTATGCTCCATAAAATTTAAAAACTCAAAGTAAATGGACAAATTTCTCAATAACTATCACTAACTAAAATTAAATCAAGAACAGATGAGCACCTTAAAAATACCTCTACTGAAATAGAGGCAGTCATTGGAAGCCTCCCAACCAAAAAATCCAGGGCCAGATGGCTTCAGTGCTGAATTCTTCCATAAATTCCAACTAAAGCTAATAACATAACTTCACAAATTGTTTCACAGAATAGAAGTAGAATGTTCATTACCAAGCTCCTTTTGCAAGGCCACAATTACCTTGGTAACTGAGCCAAAAGAAGACACAACAAAAAAGAGAACTACAGACCAATATCCCTCATGAATATTGATGCAAAAATACTCAATAAAGTACTGGAAAATTGAATCCAAGAACACATCAGAGAAATCATCTAACATGACTAAATAGGCTTCATCCCTGGGTTACAGGGACAGGTCAACATATGAAAATCTATCAATGTGATCTACCATATAAACAAACTGAAAAAGAAAAACAATGTAATCATCTCACTGGATGCTGAAAAAGCCTTTGGGAAAATCCAATAACTTTCGTGATAGAGGTCTTGGAGAGATCAGGGATAACAGGAACATACCTAAATGAATAAAAGCAATATACAGTAAACCAACAGCCAACATCAAACAGAGTGGAGAGGATAAACACCTTCAGCAAACTAGCAGGTTACAAGATAAACTCAAAAAAATCAGTAGCCCTACTTTATTCAGACGACAAAGAGGTAGAGAAAGAAATCAGAGAAACATCACCCTTTACAATAGCCACAAGCAACATAAAGTATCTTGGTGTAAAGCTTACCAAACAAGTAAAAGACCTATATAATAAGAAATTTGTGGCTCTAAAGAGAGAAATTAAAGAAGATACCAGAAAATGGAAAGACAGCCTACAGACTTGGAAAAGATCTTCACCAATCATACATCTGAAAGAGGGTCGATCTCCAAAATATACAAAGAACTCAAGAAACTAGTCACCAAACACCAAATAACCCTATTAAAAATGGCGCACAGAACTGAACAGAGAAATCTCAATTATGGAAATCAAAAAGGCTTCAAGACTCTTAAGAATGTACTCAACATCCTTAGCTACCAAGGAAATGCAAATCAAAACAATTTTGAGATACCATCTTACCAGATATACTAAAATTAGGAACACCATGACAACTTATGCTGGAGAGGATATGGAGAAGCAGGATAACTCCTATACTGCTGGCGGGAGTGCAAAAAAGTACAGCCATTTTATAGATCATTATGGTGATTCTAAGGAAAAATGGGAATCAGTCTATCACAGGACCCAGCAATCCCATACTTAGGCATATACCCAAATGATCCACATCCATGCAAAAAAGATACCTGTTTACTATATTCATAGCAGCATTATTTGTAATTGCAAGAATCTAGAAGCAACCTAGATGCCCCTCAACAGAAGAATAGATAATGAGTATGTGGCACATTTACACAATGGATTACTACTCTGCCAGAAAGAAACAATGGAATATTGAACTTTGCAGGCAAGTGGATGGAACTTGAAGAAACCATCCTGAATGAGGTAACCCAGTAACAAAAAGAGGGACATGGTACATATTTACTTATATGGATTTTAGACATAGAGCAGAGGATCACTGGCTTATAATTTACAGTGCCAGTGATGAGACTAGGATACAAGATATTTCTAAGAGATTCATACATGATCTCTCATGGGGGGGCAAGATCTCCTGAGAATATTCAGAGTGGTGGGGAAGTGAGTGCAGAGGGGACTAGGAGAAAGAGAAGGGCAGGAGAGGAAAGCACATGAGACTAGAATGATTGAGTCAGGGAAGGAATAGATGGGAAAAACACACAGAGAGAGAAATACCATAAAAGAGGGAGCCATTATAGGATTCTATAAAAAATGATTATAGAGAAATGTACAGAGACCTACAAGTCTCATCCCATTTTACAATTTGTGCAACATTTGCTAGGCTACTATAAATGCCCTTCCCTGATAAGGAGATTGATGACTAACTTATGTACAATCATTTAGCCCTCATCTTGAAGCTGATAGAAATAGAAACAGATACACACAGTTAAACACTGTGCCATACTGGAATCCAGATGCAGAAAGGGAGGACAAAACCAGGCTATATAAACATATAGAGACAACTGACCTAAACAAGGAGGAGCTAATGGGTCCCAGACTGATAGCTAGGAATCCAGCATTTGTACAACCCAGACCCCCTAAACATGGGTCTCAGAAGGCCTGGCCAGACTAAGCGACCTCTGACTGTGGAACCAGGATGTATCATAATAGGACTTTTGGAGCATGTTCCCCATGGAGGGATACTCCTTGCACCTAGAGGCAAGAGGGAGGGCCTAGTTCCTACTCCAAATGATTGGACAGATTTAGATGACCCATTTAGGAACTCATCACCCTACATGTGCAGTGGGGAGAAGTTATTTGAGGGTGGTGGTTGGGCATGGGAGGGTAGAAGAAAGGGAGCAGGAAGGGATGGAGCAGGAACTGGGATTCATATGTAAAATAAGAAAAATAAATAAATATAATGAATAAATAAAAGAGAATTGGCACTTATTGTAGTCAATATAAATCATTTTTACTTTCAGGAATTATTCAAAAAGGGAATGAGTTTTATGCCAGCCACATGCATAAATGTAAAGCTGGAGTTTCATTGGTACCTTGTCAATTAATGTTGCTGTTTAAATGCAATATCAGTGCCTAAAATCATTTGATGATGAAAACATCCAAACATAAGTGGCTAGCAGACTACTTTAGAGCAAAGTCAATGGAAATGGATGGTCCTTAGGTCCATAATACTGGAAAAGACAAATGTCTAAAACCGATTAACAGAATGCCATTACAGGTCATTTTTTAATAGCTAAATACAATCTGTACATATCGCACAACTATTAAGTATGAGACAATTCACAATCACAATTGCAGCAGTTATTATTTGTATCTGTGCATTTGTTGGTAGTGTGCATCACCATGCCCAGCTTAGTTATAATAAATACCAAGAACCTGCAATACTCTCAAATAATCATTAACAAAAGCCAAACATATGTTATTCTTCCTGCTTCCCAGCCAATCTGTTGACTCTACAGATCAGATACAGAATATAGAATACAATAGATAGATCAATTCAAAATGTAAGCTTACCATTTATAAGTATCAAACACTAACACACTTCAAATTAAAGGGACTCTACTGTCAATAACTTTGCAATATAGATGAGAATTGACTTTAGCCAATGAATGCACTTAACATCCACTGTAAATATAGCTTAAATATATTTTATTGCTATCAAATTTTTCTTTTAGCTAGGCAATGGTGGTGCACAACTTTAATCCCAGTACAAAGGAGGTAGAGGCAGGTGCATCACTAAGGCCACCTTGGTCTACAGACATAATTCCAGGATTGCCATCAATACAGAAAGAAACCTTGCCTCAAACCCTTGCTCCAAAAAGGATGTTTCTCTGTGTGTAATTATTTTCCAATTGTAATCATAAAATCAATTTTAAACAAAAAGGAATTCAGTACAATACCCTGAGCTAGTAAAATGTTACATTTCACTTAACTGTTTTAAAATTTTACTTAGTTTTATGTACATAAGTGTTTCTCCTGACTCTGATATACCTGGACTTACAAGGTGCTCACTGTATGACACATAAATATGAAGATGTGCACATGTTATGTGTGTGTCCATGCACACACGAGTGTGAGTGGAGGTGTCTTAAGAGGACAGAAGAGGGTCTAAGTTAACCTGGAAGTAGAATGACAGGCAAATGTGAGCCATCTGACTTGCTCAGGACCAAACACAGCTCAGGTCTTCTCGAAGAGCAGCAAGTGCTGAGCTGAAATACTGAGCTCTCTATCTAACCCCCAAAACTCCTTCTCAAGACTTTGTGATTTTAAAACTAATTATATTCAGTGGGAAATGTACAAGTAAAGCACAAAATAAAAGATTAATTCTCAGTGCTTCCTATAGTCTGTCCTGTAATATGATTTCAATACTGGTAAAATTAATAAAATTCATAGAAAGTGATTATTTTAAAATACTGTTTATACCTTTATCTAATATAAAATGAATACTATATGTTACGGGACTTAAAAACTTACCCAATAGTCATGTGCCCTTTGTTCATGAGCAATAACCCTAAAAAACAGTTATTAAAATTATTCGTAAATAAAAAAAATTCATTACCACCACTAAAATTCATGGTCCAAACCATAATTCCCACTGCCTAGGCATCTCTGAAGCACTATAACCATTTTGAAAGCATGATTTCACATATACAGATGATTTTCTCTCCTGAAATTTTTAACAAACCTGAACATAAGTGTTTTTAATGCCAGCAAACTGCAGAAGATGATCAACTACTAGAGTTTCCAAGGAACAGATAACAATCCCAACATGGGACTGCAATGGTGACACATTGCTTTGCTATATAATACTCATTCCAATAGAAAGGGAAGTTGCAGAAGTTTTATATTTCAGTATCATTGGCTCTCTGTGTATATTTCAGTTTCACAAAACACATCAGGAGTGATAAAAGCTACAGTCCTGCATCAGTTCTATCCAGTCAGAATGCTCTAACTGCATATACAGCTGTCACTTGACACACACACCTGCCCTTGATAGGAGCAAATTGTTCTCTCCAATTCTTCTTCAAAATCCTTGGCACACCGTCTACATGGAACAAATAGTTACTCCACTGTGCTAACATATAATAAAGAATAACAGCACGTGGCTACAAGGATATTACTGAGTGTTCTTCCTTATTTAATTATAACCACAAGACTCCTCTTTTGAGAGATGCTGACAGGTATTAAAGACCATCTTCTCCTCCCTTAGGTCTAATGTCAATTAAACTATTTGAGTACTACTACTTGGATGTGCCTATCACAATGTCACAAAAATTTACACAGTATAGAAGGTCTCCAGCAGCCTGTTCAGGGGCTCATTTACAATCTTACCATGCCCCCATCCTAAGTGCAAAAGTCTCAGGCAAATGCAAGCATGCCTGATCATCTGTATTTCATTTTCAGGACTCAAAATCATGAAAGATTAACTCAGATTCTGTAAAATTAACAGATTCCCAGAAAAGGAAATCTTTTTTGTTTGCTTTGTTTTGTTTGTTTTGAACTTCAAGACAGGGTTTCTCTGTAGCCATAACAGTCCAAGAACTGGCTCTGTAGACCAGGCTGGACTTGAGCTGACAGAAATCTACCTGCCTCTGATACCAATGCCCAGCTCAGGAGAGGAACTCATAAGAGGTAAAAGTATAACTAACTTACTGTCTTTATGAAACAAAAAAGTAATTTGTCCTTTTAGACAAAGCCCAAACTTACTCTTCCTAAGGTTGATAGAAGTATCCTATGACTCAAGTTGCTGTGGTGAGCATCTAACAGACATTCTAGTGTTTCCTCAGGTCCACTGAGGACTGAACCAAAGACTAGCTAAGCATTTACTAAAATTCTAAGAGTGGCTTGTTCATTTCATGGCAAACTTGCTGTGTATATTCTTCACCAGCTGAAAAAATCTTCATGAATGAGCTTGAATTAACTGCTCATCATATCCTTCTTGAAGACAGGGTTTCATGCAGTCCAAGCTAGTTTCAAACTCACTATTTAGCCAATATTGGTCTTGATCTTGTGACCATTCTTTTCCACCTCCCAGTGCCAACACACACAACATCCATACCTATTTATAAACTTCTTCATGTTAACATAAAATATGCTTATACTTATATATCAAAATCCCCAACAAGAAAATTTTCCTTTTTATATTTTCTGAATATCAACAAAATTCCATGAAGTTCAAATACAAAGTAATGAAACAAAAATATGCCAATTCACTGAGTAGTGGTGTTAGGGCACACAAGCCTTTAGTCCTAGCACTTGGTAGGCAGAGGCAGGCAGATCTTTGAGTTCAAGCAAGTCTGCCTCCAGAAAGAGTTCCGGATGGGTCAGGGATACAGAGACCTTGTCTGAGATCAAACAAAACAATAAAGCCATTTTATTTTACTGCTTCCTGATGCCAAGCATCAAAATAAGAAAAAGGATGTCTTACCTATAGGTCTCTAGTTCCTTGTTCACATGGCTATTTCTCTTGTTCACTTTGAAAACTTCTTCCTCTTTCTCCAGTCTACAATTTTCCTCCACTGTTATTTTCCTTAAAAAAAAAAAAAAAAAAAAAAGAGTTTTTCATTCCTTTTAATGTATGTAATCAATATAATCAACTACAATCACAAATGGTGTATCACACAAAACAATTTTCATACACCACAGCAAAGGCCATGTGCAAAAAAAGAAAAAAGAAAAATAAATTGTGTGTCTCTGATATGAAATTTGGCACTGGGCCAAAGTGTGGTTCCAACAAACCCTCCACTTCTGTGGAACTTCCTGGTTCTGCTCTGAACCCACTGGAAACACCTTTCCCCTCAGGAACACCTTGATGCTAAACTGTCCTAATCTTTGAACCCCACCAACTGCCCTCTGCCAGGGGAGCAATCTCCAAGAGAACTTGGATTATCCAGGGTTGCAGACATCGAAATCCTGACCAACCTACATTCACCAGGACAGCAGGGTAAAGAGAGACAGAAACTCCAGCTTCACACACTGGAAAAAGCGATGGGAAGACAGCATTAGAAGAAAACACCCAACAATAGAAAGAACAGTACGATACAACCAGAATCTAGGGACTCCACACCAAAAAGAACTAAACATATCAAAACAGATGAAGAAGAGAATGACATTTAAAAAATTCTTAAAAATAACACAGTCCCGCAAAGATGCTATGAGAAAAAAAATATCTCTTAAAGAAATGGAAGAAATCCAGACTAAAGTGGTTTAATCAAGCCAGACCGCCTGAAACAGAGTACGAGGTGATCCTACATTCAAAAAAGATGGACAAAGCAGCCTTACAGACTACAGCCAGGATTTCTGAATCTTCTTTGAATCCCCCATGAGAGTGCCCGTTACCAGCAGGAAGTAGTCTGGAAAGAACAATGCCCAAATTCCCAAATATTTTCTATAAATGTTTGTTTTCATTTAAATGGACTTTGTTATATAAAATAAATTAAAAAAAAAGAAATGGAAGAAAAAAAAAACAAACACTAAATTGGAAGAAATAGAGAAAAAGGCCACAGAATATATGAATAAAATAAAAAAAATCTCTTAAAGAAAGTAAAGAAAGCAATGAAAAAACAATAAAACAGATGAAGGAAGCAATTCAAACTGTTCAAGACCTGAAAACTGATATAGAGACAATAAAGAAAACACTAATTGAGGGAAAGCTTAAAACAGAAAACCTGGGTAAATGATCAGGAACTGCAGACACAAGCATAACCAACAGAATATAAGAGTTTGAAGAGAGAATCTCAGGAGTTGAAGATAAACTACAGGAAATAGATTCATTGACCAAAGAAAATCTTAAATCCAACAAAACATAGTAGAAACGTGGGATACTGTGAAAAGGCCAAACCTAAGAATAATAGGCATAGAAGAAGGTGAAGAACCCCAGCTCAAAGGTGCAGAAAATATATGCAAAAAAAATCATTGAAGAAAACTTTCCCAATCTGAAGAGAACTTTTCCAATTTGAAGATTCAAAAATGTGCTTATGAAAATACAAGAAGCATACCCAAAACCAAATAGACAGGGCAAAAAGCAAAACAACAACAACAACAACAAAAACAAACTCCCATTGACTCATCATAATCAAAACATGTAACATTCAGAATAAATAAATAATATTAAGGACAAGAAGAACAAAGGCCAGGTAATTTATATTGGCAATCAAAATATCAATCAAAATATCAAAATTGCACCTGAATTCTACATGGTAACTATCAAGGCCAGAATGTCCTGGATAGCTGTTCTACAAGTACTAAGAGTTCACAGATACCCAACAAAACCATAACCAACAAAACTCTCAATCACTATAGATGGAGAAAACAAGATATTTAATGACAAAGCCAGATTTTCACAATACATATCCACAAATCCATCCCTGCAGAATGTTCTTGAAGGAAAACTCCAACCCAAGGACGTTAACTACAATAACAAACAACTAGCCAATAGATAATACTCCTTCACCAGAACCCAAAAATAAAAGCATAGGAAATATACACAACAATACCACTGCCAACAACAACAAAAAGGAATCTAAAACAAATAAGAATTAACAATTAATGAATGAATGCTCCTTACTTTCCACCAACATTAATGGTCTTAACTTGCATATAAAAAGACACAGTCTAATAGAATTGATCTGAAGACAGAATCTACCCTTTTGGTGTAACAAGAAACACATCTAAGCTTCAAAGACAGATACTAACCTAGAGAAAAAGGGTTGGGGAAAGAACTTCCAATTATTTGGGCCCAGGAAGCAAGAAGGTGCAGTTGTCTTAATATCTACCAAGTTAGACTTCAAACCAAAATCAAGCAAAAGAAGGCCATTTCATACCCATCATAAGAGAAGTCCATCAGTACAAAGTCTCAATTCTGAACATCTATGCTCCACATACAAAGGCACCCACATATATAAAAGAAACACTAATAAAACTTAAAGGTCACATAAACCTCACATATTAAAAAACTCTTTTTATGGGGCTTGTTACACAAGTCACACAAATGCACAAATAAGAAGGAGAACTAGAGACCAACATCACTCATGAACATTGATCCAAATATACTATATTAAATACTGGTAAATTGAATCCAAATTCACATCAGAGAACTCATCCAACATGAGAAAATAGGCTTCATCCCAGCCACGCAGGGATGTTTCAACATACAAAAATCTATCAATGAGCCCCACAACAAAAACAAACAGAGAAGGAATAACCACATTATAATCCCACTAAGATGCTGAAAAGGCATTTGAAAAAATTGAACACCCTTGGAGAGATCAGGGAAAACAAAAATATACCTAAATATAATAAAAGCAATATATAGTAAACCAACAGCCAACATCATACTGAAAGGAGAGAAGCTTAAGGCAATTCCTCTAAAATGAGGAACATGACAAGACTGCCCTCTCTCTACATATCTCTTCAATAATGTACTTGAAGTTCTAGCTAAAGCAATAAGAAAACAAAGGGAAAACAAAGGGATACAAATTTGAAAGGAAGAAATCAAAATGTCACTATTTGCAGATGATATGATAGTTTCCATTAAGTGGTCCAATATACTGTACCAGGGAACTCCTATGCCTGGAAAACACATTCAGCAAATTAGCAGGATACAAGATTAATTTAAAAAAAGAAAATTACAGACAATGATGTGGCAAAGGAAGAATTCACAGAAACATCTACTGGATCAAAGACCTCAACATAAATCCAGCCACACTTAGAAGAGAAAATTGGAGGTATTTTGAACAAATTGGTACAGGAGACAGCTTCCTGAACATAACACCAGTAGCACAGTCACTGAGATTGGAAATTCATAAATGGGACCTCCTCAAATTGAGAAGCTTCTGTAAGGCAAAGTACAAAGTCAGAAAGACCAAATCTCAGTGCACAGACTGGGAAAAGTTCTTCACCATCCCCAAATCTGACAGAAGGATGATCTCTACAATAGACAAATAACTCAAGAAACTAGTTACCAACACAACAAATGAAGAGAGAATTCTCAATAGAGGAATCCAAAATGGCTGAAAGAGACTTAAGAAAGTGCTTAACAGTCTTAGCCATCAGGGAAATGCAAATCAAAACAACTGAGTTACCATATTATTCTTGTCAGAATAACTAAACTTAGAAACACCAATGGCAGCTTATGGTGGAAAGAATGTAGGGAAAGGGTAACACTCCTTCACTGCTGGCAGGAGTGCAAATTTGTACAGCCATTTTGGAGATCAGTATTGTGGTTCCTCAGGAAAATCGAAATCAGTTTACCACAAGCCCTGGCAATTCCACCCTTGGGCATATACACATCCATGTAACAGAGACATCTGATCATCTGTGTTCATAGCAGCATTATTTGAAATTCCAGGAATCTGGAAGCAACCTAGAAGCCCCTCATCTGAAAATTGATAAAGATGTTGTACATTTACACAATGGAATACTACTCTGCTGAAAAAAAACAATGGAAACGTGAAATTTGTAGGTACATGGATGGAACTTGAAGAAACCATCCTGATTGAGGTAACCCACTCATAAAAAGAGGAAATGTTATGTACTCACTTATATATGGATTTGAGACATAGAGCAAAGGATCGCCAGCATATAATTCTCACCGTGAGAAAAACTAGTATACAAGGAGGAACCAAAGACAATAACACAAGGTCCCTCACAGAAGGGGAAAGGACAGGATATCCTGAGCATATTGGGAGTGGGTGGGGTCAGTGAGTGGAGTGTCAGTAGAAAGAGAAGGGGAGGAGCAGAGCACATGTGGGTCCAGGAAGATTAAATTGGGAGACTAATACATGAGAGAGAAAAAGAAAGATAATATAATAGAGGGAGCCATTATAAGTTTGAAGAGAAAATTGACTCTAGAGAAGTGTTCAGAGACCTACAAGGATAACACCAATTATCAATCTGAGCAATCGTAGAAAGGCTACCCTAAATTCCCTTCCCTGATAATGAGATAGATAACTAATTTATATGCCATCATTAAGCTCCCATCTAGTAGCTGATGGAAATATAAGCAGAAACCCACAGCTAAACACTGAGCTGAACTCTTGGAATCCAGTTGCAAAGAGGGATGAGTGATAAGAAAATTGGTCAAGTCCAGGCTACTGAAACCAACAGATACAGCTAACCCTAACAAGGGTGAGCTCATGGCCCCCATACTGATAGCTGGGAAACCAGCATTGTACTGAATCATATCTCTGAACTTGGACCTCAGTTAGAAGGCCTGGGGAGTCTAAGGGACCTCTGACAGATATACCAGGATGTGTCCGTGGTGCATAAAAGGACTTTGGGAGCACATTCCCTGTGGAGGAATACTCCTTTAGCCTAGAAGCAGGAGGGAAGTTCTAGATACTACTCCAAATGATTTGACAGATTTTGATGTCCCCTCTTGGATGTCACCCTCCCTATAGAGTTGGAGGGGATGGGAGGTGAAGGTGAGAGCGGGCTATTAGGGAAGGAGGGTGTGGGAACTAGGATCAAGTTTTATTATAGTAAGTCATTATGTTTGTTAGTAAGAGGGCCAATAATTATAACTATGAC